TTTTTTTTTTTAAGAAAAATTACAATACAGAAAAATAAAAATCCGCTCTTTTTCTTCAGAACTGTCAAAGATACACAGTATAAATATTTATCTCCTCAACGAATTCCTGGCTTTATTTGTGCGGCGTTTCAGCCTCCAACGAAACCAACAAACGAACACATAGTGCCGGAAAGTTCCTCTTTTTTTCTGACAAAGAAACCCCTATAAACATATAATACCACGGAGTGAGAACATAATAAAAAGGTGCAGATAGGGAAAAAACCGGAAATACAAAGAAAACCGGCTTCTTCAGTAGCTAACAATCAGCTCGATTCTGTCTACTCAGTTGAACACCACCGACACATCGACGACAGCAGCTGCAGCAACAGGAGCATCACGGAGGAGCCGAAGTGAACGGCAACAACGCCTATAGCAACTGTCGCCGCCTGCCCAGTGGTAGCAGCAGTACAACCGCCGAAGCCCAACACCGAAACGACGCTGCCTGCGTGTGCATAACCAAAACAAGTTCCGCCAAGCTCCTCTCTTCCTTCTTTTGTCCTTCTCTCCTTCCTCTCTCCTCTTCCCCATCTGTTGCTACTGCCAAAGCCGGTTGTCGGCAAGTTCTCCTTTTTTTTTTTCTGCCATATAGCATAACAAAGTCTGTTATTTACAAAACATGACAAGCACCTCTTCCCACCAACCACTGTTTCTTCATCCTTAATCGTCTCTGCCCCTTCCTCAAAGTTCTCCAAATCGCTAATTTCGCTCCAAAAATTACTGCTATAAACCCATTTAATTCGAGATAACTTTGTCTGACTTTCAATCAGTTCAGATTTGTCGAAGTATAATGAAAGACAGGACATAAACAAATAAAAAACTATCGTCTTCATTTCCATTTTCAGATCCACACCCACAACGCCAACACAGATATGCAAAATTCAGCTCCCATATCAGCGATGAAAGTTTACAACATTGATGGAACCATAAGAAATCATAAATAATGTAACTGATCAGATAATTTTCAACTTTTGCTTTAAATTTGAGAACACTAACCTGCTATTAACACAAAACGTCCCACTAAAATTGGCCAGAAACAGCAGGAAAAGCAACAAGTTTTCGTCTCCTATTAGTAAAATAAAAAAAAACAAAAACTACTCCTAAAAATTAGTGAATTTAGTTCAACGAGGAAAGAAAACAACTACAAGAAATTTCGAAATCTTTAAAGTGATAACATGACTGCAGTCTTCCTATTCTTATAAACATCCCTTTAACCTTAAAAAAATTTAGTTCCGCTAAAATTTGAATTTCATACATCAAAAATGATTT